TGCAGATTCACCAACCCCCGTTGCTACAAAGGTTGGTCATTTGCTTGAGATATTCAGGAGAAGTTCTTTCTAGTGGCTTCATTGTTACCACTTTTTGGCGTGTATATTGCTACAAATATTTTGTTGATTGATATAGCTTTTTGGCGTGTATATTGCTTAGCTAGGTTTTTGTTATATATTTTTTTTTGACCTCTAATGTAATTGTTTCCCTCGCACTTCGGTAGCTTTGGTATTGTTCATTATTTACTTCATCTTTCGGATATGTAGTGACATATTTGTTCATCTATTTTTTCAGTATTACTATACCTCTGATATTTTCTTATTTTGGGGGATATTTATAGTCCTATGCAAATTATAAGGTTATTCTCAAATTGTGTTGTTATTTAGTTGTTCGGAAGCATAATATTATCAATATGGTGGGATACTTTATTTCTTATGGCTTTTCATTTTTCATTTTTCATTTTTCATTTTTTGTTTTTTTTTTTCCATTGCCATTGAAGTTGAAACATCATCATATATTGTTTCATATCTCAGAACTTTACTTTGCTTCACTAACATGTGGCCGGATTGATTGTTCATATAAAATGAAAGAAATTTCGTATTGTTATTTTCCTTACTTTGAATGAAGACGTTTGTATATTGGACCTAAGAATCCCAAATAGTCAGTGTATGAGAATTAAAATTATTTTTGATGTTAGGATTACAAAAAGTGAATGACGTTCACTAGAATCCTCACCTGAGTTTATGTCATTTGGATGATAATGTAAAACCTAATTAGATATAACATTTCAACTTAACTTGTTGTCATTTTTGCAAAATTTTATTTCTATCAACCAGTAGCATAGGATTGAAAGGTTCCGAAATTCCTGTTGTACTAGATGATGCTAATGAACATCCCAGTAAGCAAGAATTGGGATAGTCATGTAAAATAATCAGTCTTGATTCCCTGCATGATGGGATATTGGATGAGACTATTGAGGTGAAGCTTTAAAAAACAAAGGGATGTAACAAAAATAAATCAAGAGATTTATACAAAATTGTGTCATATCGAGATATTTAAGCAGAATTTGAATTGGTGATGTGATTAGGCGACAAATAAGATAAAATAGAAGTAATATGTACTATCTTATTTTGATGTTCACAAATTCACAATATGATGCAATATTCATCATATTGAGTAAATTTGACTTTTGTATTTATAAAAAATTCAAACATACTCACGAATCAAATTTAACCTCAATCAACGGAATTATTTTTGAAAATCAACATCATAATCTCGAACTGATCTTTTTGTATATTAATTTTAGAATATTCCTTAAATAATTTTTTTTCGATAATTAACAATATACAACTATTTACTAAACGAAATAACCCTCCACTCCCCAAAAATTCACCCAGCCCTCACCCCCGTCGTGAATCTCCTAGCCACGCCGCCGCCGCCGTCTTTACCCCCCCGGTCGACCACACACCGTCATCATTGTTCGCCTCCCGTCGTCCATCAAAATAACCCGAGTTCTAATCCCGTCGGACCGAAAATCCTCTTTCGCAATTCTCAGCCACCCGGTCGCAGTCGTTCCAATCCCGCCATCGACCACACAACCGCCGTCGCCGTCAACGTCCAAAACAAATAATCTAGTTCCAGAGCTCTCAATGAAGCCCAAGCCAAAGAAAACTAAGTACATACAAATCTTGTGTGTTCCCAGTAAAGTTTCCGATTTCAATAATTACAAGTTATTTCGTCCTATCGGCGACTCCTTCAGGAATTTCTTATGGGGAACATGCTTTAGGGATTTTCTTTTTATTAATCTGATGCCTATGGTAGATCCAATTTTAAAGTTAATAAGTTTTTGAAATATCGACCGGAAGTGTTTTATGTTTAGATGGGTTGAAATCAGACATTGACGGTCGATATAGGCACTTACGGTCAACACCCAATAACTCATTAACTTTAAAATTAAATCTACACACATAGGCATCGAATTAACAGAAAGGAAACTCCTAAAGCATGTTACCCATACGAAATTCCTTAAGGAGTCGCCGCTAGACCGAAATAGCTTGTCGTTATTGAAATCGGCAACTTTCCTGGAGACACGCGGACTTGAATATACTTAATTCTCTTTGGTTTGAGCTTCACCGAAGGCTCTGGAACTAGATTCTTTGTTTTAACATTGACGGCGGCGGCAGTTGTGTGGTCGACGACGGGATTGGAACGACTACGGCGGAGTGGCTGAAAATCGTGAAAGAGAGTTTCCGGTCCGATGGGATTAGAGCTCGGGTTATTTTGGTGGATGACGAGAGGCAAACGACGGTGGCGGTGTGTGGTCAACGGCGGGAGGGGAAGACGGCGGCATCGTGGCTGGAAGATTCGCGACTGGGTGACTTCACACAGGGGTTAAGGCTGGGTGAATTGTTGGGGAGTGGGGGTTATTTTTCGTCTAATGAATAGTTGTATATTGTTAATTATGGGAAAAAAATATTATTTATGGAATATTCTAAAATTAATACATAAAAAAATCAATGCGAGATTATGATTTTGGTTTCCAAAAATAATTTCGTTGATTGTGGTTAAATTTGATTTGTAAGTAGGTTTGAAATTTTTAGAAATACAGAAGTCAAATTTACTGAATATAATGAACATCAAAATAAGATAGTACATATTACCTTCATTTTAATTTAGACATCATGTTAAAAATACTATGACAGTATGTGTGAAATGTGTGTACTTCATTACGTTTTTCGAATGATTTTTATTTGAAAAGAACTTATATTCGTTTCCAATTTATGTAGTTAATATTTACAATTATAATATAACAATTAATGTATTTAACCTTTTTTTAAATAAATTGATATTTAATTACCTCTTTCCAAAATTTCTAAAATATCCTTCATGAATAACAATCATTGAATTTAGATGAATTTATAATAATGATCTTGAATCTTACATAAAGTCAAGAGGATACCAATAACCACATATATATATATATATATATACATAAAATGTATTGTTTGTTTGTGTTGCTAATATGTAAATATTAGAACATTGAATGATATCATTGAGCATTTTACTTGCCGTCATTTATTAAATATATATATATATATATAAAATTACAGAGTTTGTTCACCTAAAATATTTGAGTAACACAATCTTTAATAAATATTTTAAAAATATATTATTTACACATATTTATACAATATATATATAATATGTATTTTATATACGTTTGGTAAAAATAATTTGAAAGTACAATTTGAATTTATTTAGAACGTATATAAAAAATACTAGTCATAAAAATCAAATGTAATAAAAAATATTATTTTTTTATATAACTTACATAATTTATCGTGTTTTAACATAAATAAATAAATAAATGCACAAAACATACAAAGTGAACCTATCCTACAATAAATTAAAAAAAAAAATTGCAAAAAAAAAATAAAAAGATTGGGTCACACCCCCTACTTCCATTCCATATCCCCAATTTCGGTTTAAGAGATTGCTACGAATCTTCCAAAACACGTTCCATAAACATAGCAGTAAAATTTTCTTGCCCCAAGTCAACGAGTCAGTCAATCATTGAACGAATCAATCAAAACATAGACAAGAAGAGTTATTCCTTCCTACATAATTGTCCAAAATTTTCATTTTGTCATTTATGTTCTATTTTGTTACCCAAAAAAAAAAAAAAAAACTATTATTATTATTATTATTTAATTCTATTTTAATTTTTTTTAATTTATAATTGTTAAAATTTTTAAATTAATTAATTATATTAATTTTAATCTACTATAATAATTTGCATTATATAGTAACTACTTTGACTAATATATTTTTAAATTATTTAATTGTATTATTCCTTATATTCTCTAGTGGAATTTAAGGGTGTATTTCTTTAGAAGGAATTTCGGGAAATTTGAGTTTGAATTTTGATATTTATTTTGTATTTAGGTTTTGGAAATTTTTGATGTATATTGATTTCATGGTTATAAATATAATAATATAAATGCATATTAATTTGTATAATTTAATTATAAATTTATATTTTATCTGTATATATATATTTCTAAATTTTTTATTTATTTGTATTATACAGAAAATTATTCTCTACAAAATAACATATATATATTTTATTAAATTATAATTAATTATAATTTTTTATATTTATAATTTTAAAAAAACTTAAAAAAAAAAAAAGAAAGAGACAGACACGTCTGTCCCCAAAACTCCTCCGGTATTTGCACAGTAATTCAGCCAAAAACTAGGTTAAAGAAACACAGACTAAATTCTCAAAATCGAACAAGTAAAGTAAAATTTAAATTTCTTTGTCTATATAAAGTTAGATAAGACTTGCACTCCTATTTTATAGGAAATCGGACAAGTAAGATGAAACTTAAATTCTTGGAGGCGGATCACCATCCCTAGAATTTTCAAAAAAAAAAACATTTTTCGTTAGGGGTGAGAAAAATATCCGAAATCCGAAAATTCAATTCGAATCAAATCGAAATTTAAATTTGCTTCGGATTTTTGGATTGGATCGGATTAAATTTTTAACAAATTTCGAATTTTCGGATCAGATCGATATACTTAAAATCCGAACCAATTCGAAATTCGAAATATAACATTTTAATATAATTTTTTATTATACATATTTAATATATTTTATTAGAAAAATATTATATTTTAATATAAAAAACTCAAATTTATTAATTATATTTAATATATTTAATATTATAAAATAATAATAAAATTTAAAAGAAATTTAAAATTTTTTAAAATAATAATAAAAATATTTAGAATTTCGAATTTTTCGGTTTGGTTCGAATTTTTTAGTTCGGATTACGGATTTTTGGATTTCGAATTTTTGTTATTTCGATTCGGTTCGAATTGGTTTTTTCAAAAATTTCGAATTTTCGAATCGGTTCCGAACCGAATATCCGAATGCTGACCCTAAACCCCTATCCTTCTTTCTTCATCCTAGAATTTTCAAAATCCCTTATTAGCTTCTTCTTCATTAAAAGACTCGAACTTTCTCTGCACCTTCTGCAACAATGATTCATTCCTTCCTTGTTAGTCTGTCTTAGGTTGTTTCCACTCTCTTGCAGTGACATGGATGTACGGACCAACCTTATAAGAAGTTCTTCTCAATCTCCAAAAGAAACATCATCAAATCAATTCATCATGAATGATCAATCAGATCAGTTCCAAAACCTTCAACTCTTCCCATTCAATCTCAACCTAATCGTTCCAACTATTCTTTTCATCGACTTCCTCGCATTCCATTTCCGCATCAACGGGAAAGGAATCCGGAAATGGTTCGCGGGATTCATCGAATCATCCGACGAGCTAGTTCATGCACGTCCACGGGTCGAGAGGAAAGAGTTCGATTTAAGGGAAGATCGAATTTTGAGTAGAGGTGAAGTCGAGATCGCTCTGAGATGCCTCGGAATGTCATGCGACGACGACGACGATTCCGAGGAATCGAGATTTGACGGCGACGATCTTTATCGAATGTTCGAGGATGAGAATCCTACGATCGACGAACTAAGATCAGCTTTCCACGTGTTTGACGAAAACAGAGATGGTTTTATTGATGCGGAGGAGTTAAACAAGGTTTTGACTAATCTACAATTGATCGAAGGCTCGTCGGAGATCGACGCCTGCAAATTAATGATTCGGGCTTTCGACGAAGACGGGGATGGAAGGATCGATCTCTGTGAATTTGTGAAACTCATGGAGATCTAGTTTATGTGGATGAATTATATCGTTGTCATAATACGTACATATAAGAACAAATGCTATTTCAACTAAGCGTCGATGTTTTTTCGATCTTTCAGGACATCCTAATAGTTGTCAGCAATTGCTATTATTTCATAGGGTAAACTGTTGTTTTAATCCCGTATCTGACCTCTTTATCATTTTAGAATTTTAAGTGAATCATGTCTGAAAAATAGTCCCGTAAGTAAAAAAAAATAATTCGCTAAAATGGTCCTCCGGTACCGGACTCACCATGTTGGCCCGCCGTTGCTAACATGGCGCTGACGCGGCTGACATGTCATCAACTTTTATCATTTTTAGAACTTTAAATGGTTATATCTAAAAATAGTCCATTAAATTTTTTTCGCTAAAATGGTCCAACATGGCATCTAGTGGCGATAATATATCAGTCACGTCAGCAACGACGGACCAGCGTGGTAAGTTCGGCACCGGATGACCATTTTAGTGAAAAAAATTTACTTTTTAAAGTCTTAAAATGATAAAATGGGCGGATGCGGGACTAAAAAAATCAGTTTACCCTACTTTATATGAACACTAACGTAGTATTGAACGGTAAGAATGATACTAACTTGTACAATCACGACATCGAAGAAGAACTTCCCCGTCGCGTCGAACCTGCGAAAAGCAAGCCACGAAAGCATCAATGCAAAATAATCGTATCGGGATAGCCGTGAAATATGTTCCTTACTCGAGCATTTCGTATTTTCACCAATAATCAGCGCAAGAGCAGCGGCCGTCGACGAGCCTGTGAAACCGGCTAACGTCTCTCACAATGATCGTCCTCTTCGCGTGCTTTGAGATGTACTTAGCAGCCGAGTGGCAGTCGTCGCACATCCTCAGGTTCTTCATCACGCGGATCGGCGCTTCCCGGGGTGTCTTCATCAGCGCATACGCTATCGCCAACTTCTCGCTGTGATAACTCAGGAGATCCTCCTTCTGTTCTTCGTCGACGTCGTGGAGCTCGGAGCTTGTGTCGGGGGCGTATCCAATGTTCTTGATTTCGGACAGCAGCTCCTTCACCGTGTCGCGGATTTTAGCAGACTCGACATGTTTCCGGTCGTCTGGAACGAAGATGTGCGTGCTGTTCCCGATCTCGATCCAGCTCAACCCGGGCTCCTTCTTCATGTTCCTCTCCTTCATCAGCCTCCGAATCTGTCGAGCGAATCAATATCGATAACGACAACGACAACGACGTAACGAAATGTAACGATCATTCAGCGGTACCTTCACAACTTTATCCCATCTTCGAGCTTTCGCGTGCATATTCGAGATCAAGATACACGCGCCGCTATCGTTTGGATTCAATTCCAGCACAGCCTCAACGATTTTCTTCCCCAAACCGTAATTTTGATGGACGTAGCACGCGTTGAGCAAAGTCCTCCACGCGACAGCATCGTATCGTACAGGGTTCGATCGGATGAAATTCTCGGCCTCGTCGAGCCTCCCCGCCCGAGACAGAAGCCCGACGATACAGGTGTAGTGCTCGATCCCCGGATCGATCCCGAACTCCGTCGGCATCGAGTTTAGATACTCGAAAGCTTCGTCTACTCGTCTCGACGATGCGCATGCAGAAAGCACTCCCACGAATGTCACGTAGCTCGGGCGACGTTTTGATCTAATCATCTGTCGGAACACATTCAGGGCTTCCTCGCCGAGCCCGTTTGACGAGTAACCATTTATCATCAAATTCCACGACACGACGTCCCGGCACGACATGTTATTGAAAACGGCGTAACCTTCTTCGACTAAACCACATCTCGACAGCATCTTGATCAAAGCATTGCCTACGACGGCGTAGTCCTTCATCCCGATCTTTTCGACACGCGCGTGCAACGAGTTCCCGTACCCGAGCGCTGACACAGCTGCGCACGCATTCAAAACCACCGCGAACGTACACTCGTTGGGGGCGACTTTTCGAAGAAGCATTTTCGTAAACAGCTTCAACGCTTCTTCGAAGAACTCGTTCTGTAAATAAGCAGCCAGCGCCGCCGTCCAGGTGACCTCATTTTCGGAATTCTTGGCGAGCAGAGCATCGAAGAACTTCCTCGCAGATGAGATTTCGCCGCATTTTCCGTACATATCAACTGCTGCACTGCCAACAAAACAGTCACCATCGACGCCGGTCTTTAGCACTCTCCCATGAACCTGTCGTCCCAAATGTAAATCCTCGAAACCTCCACAGGCTCCCAACATGTTAACGCAAGTTACAGTATCCCACCCGTCGTATCTGCATTCGACAAACATAGCAAACAATACAACCCTCGCTTCGGCTACATCTCCCTGATCCAGGAGTCGATTTAACACCGTGTTATACGTGCAAATATCCAATCCAGGGGTGAAATTCATAACCTTTATGGCCTCCTTCGCATCCAAACACATCGAATACATATGCACGAGCGCATTCTTGACATACTGATGAAAGATCAATCCAGACTTGAAGGCGAACCCGTGCCATCGCCGGCCATCATCGGGGAAGCCGGAATTCGCGCACGACGACAGAATTGTAGCCAGTATGTACTTATTGGGAGATAGCTTGTGCACGTCGATCATGGTTTTTGTCAGGTGTATTACTTCTGGACCATCCCCCTTGTGCAAATGACCAGCCATTATACTGCCATAAGTAACAATGTTCTTCTTCGGCATTTTGTCGAACACCTTGCGAGCACTTGATACATCGCCGCATTTCGAGTACAAATTGATGACGGAGTTCCTCTCGATCACTCTGTCTCGAGAGATTTGATTAGAGACGATCAAATGTGCGTGAATGGCTTTCCCAAATTTGAGATTCTTCGCGCCCGCAGATGCTTTCAAGAGCTTCCGTATGTCCATTGGATTGGACAGGCAGCATCAATCTCCACGCCAATTATTACTTGGCCTCAAATCCTAAAGCCCACCTCATTTATGTAATCAAAAGACGACGTCGTCTCATTGTTCTGGTGGAAAATAACTCGAACCCTCTTCTTCCACCCTCTTCTCCCTCGCTCGAATGCTGCGAGCTTTCGATTCGCCTCGTCGCATTAGGGTTTGCTTAATTCTCTCTCGAATCTTCAGTTGTTCACCAGAATTTACTTCTTCAATCTCGGACTCGCCTGGGAGCTGGAAAAACCTATCGATTCCACAGGAAACTCGGCCGCACGAAGATTTATCTTTATCTCCTCTGAATTTCCGAGGCATTGCCGATTCCTTGATATCGAAGTGTTCATATACTGCGGATTACAATAGATGTAAGTCATTCACTGGATTTTTACCGAAGGATTACTTACTTGAACTCTCTTGTATCTACCCTGACATAATCCGTCGATTTTGGCGAATTTCCGTGTGGCAACCTCAGGATGTTCTTGAGATATTACTGGTGTTTGAATCCGACGAGGTTAGGGCCAAAAATGTTGAGTATTTATGGGGAATTTTCAATTGGGCGAGTGGACAGTCCGAGGGGTTTGAGCATCTTCCTCAATCATGTAAGATCATGGCATCGATGCTTGCACGAGCGGGATTTTTCAGTGAAACTGAGTCCTTGCTATCGAGGAGGGAAATGGAAGGAAATTTTTTGGATTGCAAGGAAATTTTCGATAGCTTGATTAAAGGATATATAGAGGAATTTGAATTAGACTCTGCTTTTTCAGTTTATATGAGAATGAGGAGACTTTCATTAGTTCCATCATTGTTAAGTTACATTTCTCTCATTAAGTATTTGATCGAGTTGAACGATACTCGAACGTTGTATCCGATTTATGTTGATATGATAATGATGGGAATGGGAATGGGAGGAAGTGTAGAGGAGAAGATGATTCATAAGAATGTCATTCGTCTGCTTTGCATCGATGGAAGAGTTCAGGAATCGAGGGATCTTGTTAAGGAGCTTGCAAATTATGGAATCAAACCTAGCGATTTTGTTATTAGTGTGATCATTCGAGCTTATTGTGCCAAGAAGGATTATGATGATGTGTTGGGTTTCTTGGCCGAATTCAGGATTTCGCCTGAAGTTGTGGTTGGAAACAAGATTCTGTTCTCAATGTGCAGGAATTTCGGTGTTGATCGAGCAAGTGTGTTCTTGGAGAAACTGGAGAGACTCGGTTTCTACCCTGATGAAGTGTCGTTTGGGATTTTGATTGGATTTTGTTGTTACGAGGGTAAACTAAAGCTTGCTTTCTTTTATCTTTCAGAGATTTTGTCAAGAGGGCTTAAGCCACATGTGTGTTCGTATAATGCTCTATTAAGTGCAATATTTGAGGAAGGCATGCCGATTCTGTCCCAAGAAATAATAGCTGAAATGAATGATATGGGAGTGTCGCCCTCGTTGGCTACCTTCAGAGTTCTGCTGGCTGGGTTTTGTAAAGCTCGAAAATTTGACGAAGTGAAGGCAATAGTCCATGAGATGGCGGACTGTAACTTAGTAACCCTCTCGTCGATGGAAGATCCATTGAGCAAAGGATTTGCCATATTGGGTCTCAATCCTTTGGATGTGAAAATTAAGAGGGACAATGACAAGGGACTTTCTAAGACTGAGTTTTACGATGATCTTGGGAACGGGTTGTATTTAGATACAAATTTGGACAAATTCGATGAACAGATCTCCCAGATTCTTCGCGAAGCCATGGTGCCTGAAATGGGAATTGATGAAATGGAAAGATGGGGCCAAGAAATGTCTCTTCCCGCACTGTCTTCTTTGCTCGGTGGCCTTTCTAAAGCTCCATCGGGTGTTGAGATCATTAGCCATCATTTGGGGGCCATGTTAAAATCAATTTATGATCTTGATCGTAAGAGTTTAAATGTGCTTGTTCGGACATACAGCAAGAGGGGATTTACTTTCAAAGCACGAGCACTTTTCGATGGAATGGTTAGAAGGGGTTGCAACATTGAATACGGTACATACTCTAGTCTGTTGTTCGGTGCGTGCAAGAATGTTGATTTGAAAAGCTTCCATTATTTCCGTAAAATTGCTCAAGAATCCGCGTGGTCACCTGATTTAAAAGAGGCTAACGCCCTTTTAACTTATCTACTTCGGAACAAGTGGATGAACGAGGCATTGGAGCTTTTCGAGACCATGCTATTAATCGCAGCTTCTTCTGATGTATCCGACATTTTTCAATCCTTACTCGAAAAGCTTTGTCGCCATGGGTTCACTGATACTGCTTCTGTTTTGCTCAACAAATTCTCAAGTCGGGCCACCCTCTCGGATCGCATTGCTTACAGTCATTTGGTCACTCGGTTTTGTCGGGACAATAGATTTCCTGAAGCCTTGAAATTGTTCGAGACTATGCTTTCCATTAACTTATCTCCATCTTCGAGCTTGTATGCCGAGTTGATTTCTTGGCTCTGCCGGACCAACAACTTCAAGAAAGCTGTTGAATTGAAAACTACATGCTTGAGGGATCAACCCTCTGCCGAACTTCTTATAAACACAGCTTTGATTAAGGGTTTCTGCAAGTCGAGAAGAGCTGATGAAGCCGGTGCTCTATTCACGACGTCTCTTCTAAAGGGCTTATCTCCCGATGATGAGGTATTCAACTCGTTAATTGAAGGCTACTGTAGAGTGTATAACTCGAACAAAGTTCGAGAGCTTCTGGGGTTTATGATAAGGAAGAATCTGAGCATATTTGGATCTAGCTATAGCCATGCCGCACGATTGTTATGCGCCGAAGGAAGGTTCGCTTTGGCGATTCGTTTGAAAGATCTCATTCTTCGAGTAACTGAACTCCCGGATCTCGTTCTGCATAACGTTTTGATATTTCACCTTTCGTCGTCACGGGACAGTTCCTTATTGGATGTGGCAGTCGGAATGGAAGGAATCCTGTTTGATGATGTTACTTACAATTTTGTCGTTCGGGGATATATGATGAGTAACGACATCCCTCGATCTCTTCACTATCTGACAGCTATGATAAAGCAGGATCTTAAACCGAGTAATCGTGTCCTCAGGGAATCGATCCACTTTCTTTGCCGCAACGGCGAGATTCAGCTCGCGTTGGATTTGAGTCTGGAAATGGAGTCTCATGGTTGGGTTCACAGTTCGTCTGTTCAAACCAGCATTGTCGAGGCACTTCTCAGCACCGGGAACCTGCAACAAGCAGTCGAGTTTCTAGACAGAATGGCGTCGAAGGATCTGATTCCCAAAAATGTACAATACGATCGTTTAATCAAGGAGTTTTGTCGACACGGTCTGCTGGCGAAATCCGTCGACCTTTTAAATATCATGTTACAGAAGGGGAGTCGGCCTGCTTCCACCAGCTACGACTATCTCATCCAGGGCTTGTGCAGCGGCGGGAAATTGAATTTAGCACAAGATTTTTACACGGAGATGGTGTGTCGGGACATGAAGCCGGGCAAGCATACTGGGGATATTCTCGTTTGCAAGCTGTCTGAATACGATCGGATTGGGGAAGCAGAGAATGTGCTTAAATCGAGGATTCGGTTTGGGGAGAAGCCGAGCCATGAGGCTTTCTGTGCAGTGATCGATGGGTATCGGAGCAAGAAGAGCGTCGGGAAGACGACGGAGCTGGTGGAGGCGATGCAGGAGATGGGGTACCGGCCGGATTTCGATACACATTGGGGTCTTGTGAGCAGTCTGAGTAGCAAATGTAGCAAGAGGGATGAGAGCAGTAATTTTGTGGCAGGAATTCTTTCTGGATTTGGGTTGTCAAGGAAGACGTCGAGCTAACCTTAGGCTTATGATGGTGAGAATGACAACATTTCTAAGGTATACCTATTCTTGCTGTGAAATGGATTTTCTTTGTCGTTTAAAGCTTCTACCCTAAGGCTTCTGATGTTTATATTCTAGAGCACAAATTTAGGTTACTGAACCTTAGTTGCTCTCACATATGGGCTTTATTTATTTATTTTAATTAGCTTTTCTACTGTTCCTGCCAAGGTTGAAGTAGATAGCAATGAAGTGAAATCATGTGGTAGGGTGACTTAGTTTTTACCATAATGATTGTGGTATAAGAGTTGTATAAATAAACACACCGGACTGTATTTGAGTCAAGATGAACAGCTGTGTTTGATGTCAAGTTATACTAGCTTTGAAATGCTAGCATCGATTGCTCCCATTTGCTTAATTTTGATGTAGCGCTGTAAAGTTACACACCATTATCCTATGTTTTAATCCGGAATTGGGTCATATTCTGTTCTGAAAGTTTCTTGCTCGCATGGATCCTAGCCAAATCCTATTGATTTTTAGATTTGACTTCTTGAGTGTTTGGGCTATTCCTACTTAATCGTTTTGTGTCTTGTTGTATGTTAACAACAAAAGTGTGTATTACTAAATTATTCCATCATTTTCTGTTTAATATATAATAGGGTGGAATTTATACACTTCCAAGCCATTTATCTGCTGGTGCTAGAGATCTCATTCCGAGGATGCTTATAGTTGATCCCATGAAGCGGATGACTATTCCTGAGATACATGCTCATCCCTGGTTTCAAGCTCATCTCCAGCGCTATTTGGCTGTGCCACCACCGGATACAGCCCAACTGGCAGAAAAGGTATCTAAAATTTGCAGTGCCATCCATTTTTCTTGGTTCTTGAATCATAAAAAAATAGCTGTAAATCTACAGGATGTTAAATCTGGATTTTTGGTGATATTAAAATTTATGTATGCTGTTCAATTTCAGATTGATGAAGAGATTCTTCAAGAGGTTGTTAAGATGGGTTTTGGTCGGAATGGTCTTGTCGATTAGCTGCGAAGCAGGGTTCAGAATGAGGTGAGTATTGTGAATTGTAGTTGACTCAAATGTGAAGTTTGTTTGCATGATGGTTTAATGGCGCCACTGGTGTTCCCTAATCTGTTGTCACTCACAGGGAACTGTTACGTACTATTTGTTGCTAGACAACCGGTTCCGTGTTTCTAGTGGCTACCTTAGACTATTCATGATAAATAAATGTAGCCGTCTTCCTGTGTTATATTCATGAAGATGAAGCTCATCACTAATCTTCTAATTTTAGAATTCTTGTTTCGTCGTTCTCATGCTGATTTCACAGTATCTGAACTTGTAACATCTGAGTATTATATGTGGATCTATCTCCATAGGAATATGGGTACAATCGGACGAATCCTAATGAGACTATAGCATCTCCTGTTGGGCGGGCGATAGATTATCCACAATTTGGGGGGAGCAGGTATCCGGTTGATCGGAAATGGGCACTTGGACTCCAGGTTAATCGCCGTATATCTTTTGCATTTCATTCTTACAAATGTGAAAAAAAGAGCCACTATTATTACTTCACCAAGAATATGATCCCAACAATGGTTTATGCTGCCTATAGAGATCGTAATACTATTGTTATTGTTTCCTACTGCCCCCGGCAGCTGACAACTATTCATGTATCCATCTGTTTTGGTTATTAATATTTCAATTTGCAGTCGCGAGCCCATCCTCGAGAGATAATGACGTACGTTTACTGGAAAAAGATCGGGCAGTACAGCATTAAGTGCAGAAGGGTCCCGGGCATGCTGGATGGTGGTAACTATTTTGGAGATGAGTCTGCCGTTGCCATTGTGGAGAACGACAGCAATTCCAGGCCACAGAACGTGATCAAATTCGAAGTGCAGGTAAAAATGATGATGATGATCTTCAGTCCTTTAATAATATTATGAAATGGAAATTGATGTTTGTTTCTAAAAGTTTGGCTTGTTTCCACTCTATTTCGAGGTATTTTTAGTGTACTTCCTGGAAAAAAAAAAAAAAAAAAAACAGTGCGATGAGATAAAGATCGAGGCAAATTTTTCGATTTAAAATCCCTCGCGCCTCGTGCAGTCGAGGCTTTGCCAATGGATTTCTTTCTCTTTTCTTCCCTCTCCCAACTCAAACCTACCGATTGCATCCGCCTCTCTTACAGTTGATTACAAAATCTTGAAGAGCATTGTCTGACATTAAATTAATTTAGATTTGTGAAGTATATTATTTGTTACGAAATAAAATAGGTAAATGTAAAAAAAATTAAAATAAGTAGTATTCCCTTCTACCCAGATATCTAGACACGGTAAGATATCTAGACACGGTAAAAGGGATGTTGTTAACATATATTTAGAAACAATATATTATATTTATGGTAGTTATCTTATTCGTAGGATTTTTGTCTTATTTAAATGGTTTATATATCACTATAAATATGTACGTAATCTTATGATTGAATAGAGAATTTCAGTTTCATATTCTAACATGGTATCAGAGCCAAATTCTCTCGGTGTACCTCCATGACCCGTTATATCCCGTATATATTTTTATTTTTATTAATGTAATTGTTTCTATCCACGATCATGGTGTTATTTTCATGTCGTCTCTGTCTCTACTACTCCACTGACAGAGTCTACTTTCGACTCTAACACTGTTGAGAGTCATGTTTTCAACTCTAACTCTATTGAGAGCGAGAGAGTCCTGTTTCCGACTCTAGCTCTGTTGTGAGCGAGCGAGTCCTGTTTCCGTCTCTAGCTCTATAGAGTGAGCGAGTCCTGTTTCCGGCTCTAGTTCCGTTGTGAGCGAGCGAGTCCTGTTTCCAACTCTAACGGTGTTGAGAGTTTTGCTTCTGACTCTGATCCAGTGGACGACATCAATCTTGGTGAATTCAGATTTATACGTGAAAGATCTCGGCTATATCTTTTTCGGTCACTTCTAACAAACTCAAGTTTGTTCGATCATATCTTGAGTTTGAGGAGGGGTGTTAACATATATTTAGAAACAATATATTATATTTATGGTAGTTATCTTATTTAAGAGATTCGTAGGATTCTTGTCTTATTTAAATGGTTTATATATCACTATAAATATGTACTAATCTTATGATTGAATAGAGAATTTCAGTTTCATATTCTAACAGATGTAATTAGTATATTATTAAGAATGTATTAGTAAAAATAATTATTTTATAATATAAATAATTATAAATTAAAATTAAGATAATTTAGTTTAATTAAAATTAAAAAAATTAAAATTTAAAATAAGATTAAAGTGTGTAATATTTTTTTAAAAAAAGAAAGTGGCATGGACGGACAGAAACTGTAATGTGGACATAGTATCTGGTATCTGGACGGAGAGAGTAATATTTTATATTTAATTGTAATTTCACCAAATTGTATCAAATTAACAAAGATTTATCAAAAAAAATTATTAAGTGAAACATTTGGCAGAGGTAAAAACATCATATACATGAGTTTTTAATATTTTTTATTTCATATTTATCAATCGATTCTATTAGTATTATAAAGGTAATGACAATGATATTTGTAGTGTTACTAGATAATATAGTTAAAAATAAAATAAAATAAAATAAAATAAAAATTAAATTGGATTATTTTTTACTATACTGACCAAAATAGATAGATTATTCAGTGAGTATAACATTTAAACTGAAAATTGAAAATAAATTATTAATGTGTCTTTCCCTAAATCAGATAAGTAGAGTCACAGTTCCGCCGGGATCCGTTTATACTTGTATGCACTTATATCGTTTGCTTCTGGTAGATTTGCAAAGTTCCAATTTTACCCCCTCTGTCCTCCGATCCGTGATCAATGGCCTCGTGTAATTGCTCAAGGGCATTTCCGTCTTTCCAGGGACGATCGGATCCCAGCTGCGGCGGTTTCTCCGTCGACAACAAAGCCTCCAGCCTCCGTGTCTCCGCGGCGGCGCGCGGCCTGTCTTCGTTAATTTATAAGTTTCCGCCGAACTTCGTCCGACAGTTGAGCACCAAGACCCGGCGGAACTGCAGCAACATCGGAGTCGCTCAGGTACCGGCGGCTTCGTGGTCGAACAACCACGACGCTTCGGAGTTCACACCGGCGGAGGCCGAGGCTGGCTTTGGAGAGGCATTTTCTGATGGCGAGAATGGAAAGCTTGAGGGTTCTCCTTTTTCCGACTACGAATCCTTTCTGAAATCCGATGGCAGCGTTGCGATTCATGCTGGTATGGAATTATTTGATCGAAATAGCTTCAAATGTTGATCCTAAGCTGTACGTGTTCGATTAATTTTGCAAAGTTCTAATTGCGCAGTTGCAATGTTCTTCTGCCTTTTCTTACTGACTATACACATGATCATTATTAAATTAATACTTGTAAGATTCTTAGCTTTCCCTGGTGTTGATCATTTTGCAGTGCAACGTCAAAGTTTGAAATGAACTATAACTCAATTCATACATTTGGAAAATCTTCATTAACTTGTCCAGGTGAAAGATTGGGGCGAGGAATTGCTTCCGATGCAATAACTACTCCAGTAGTTAATACTTCAGCTTATTTCTTCAAGAAAACTGCTGATCTCATTGATTTTAAGGTATATTAATCTGTTAATGAAATTTGCTTCTCATAGAAATGACTATGGCTTTGCTTCGAGTATACCATGCCACATTGGTGATTGGCATGAACTGTGAGCTTACAGCCATTGACAAAAGTGCCACTAGCAGCTTCATTTCATTGCATGATTTCTGAGAAGTGTTTTTGTCTGATCTGGCTGTAAATTTCAAATAATTAAAAGTCTCGACATTTCAGGAAAAAAGGCGAGCGAGTTTTGAATATGGTCGTTATGGAAACTACACTACTATTGTTGCGGAGCAAAAGATCAGGTCTGTTTGGTTTATAGTTTTTGTTTTTGTTTTCTTATGTTTATCTACAAGAAGATTATATGAGTAGGCTTCAAGAGAATACAATTTCAGTTTTACATATGCTTCAGTGCACTGGAAGGAGCTGAGTCGACAATTTTGATGGCTTCGGGAATGTACGCTAGCACAGTTCTGCTGATGGCACTTGTTCCAGCAGGGGGGCATTTAGTCACCACGACTGATTGTTATAGGAAGACTCGGATATTCATTGAGACTATCCTCCCCAAGATGGGGATCACTGTATGACTCTCTGATCCATTTATGTGTTCTTTGGAGGGTGGATAGTGGGAGGGGGTGAATGAGGTCTTCCAAAACTTACAACTCAAATACTTTTTACCCTATTCTTAAAGTAAATACGTGAATGGAATTGGCAATCAATAATATCACCCCATGAGAGGGAAGTTTAACTCTATAAGTATATTGTAAATACTGAAAAGTTAGTTCAGATATCTTTCGACAAAGTAGATGCATGAATAAATTGAACTCAAATTGAAGGAAAAATGAAGGGAAAATTTAGATAGAGCTTAAAAATAGCTAGGTTTGATTCATCCACTTCAAATTTTTTGATCTGGGCCTCTGGATGAGATTTAAGTGACCTGGTGTTTTCTTTCATGAACAAAATGAAGGCAACTGTGATTGATCCGGCAGATATTGGAGGTCTGGAGTCTGCATTAGAGAAGAACAATGTCAGTATGGACATAGATATTTTCATTCTCCTTTCTCAACCTATATATTTTTTCTTGCGAGGGTCCTTATTGAACTATCCGCACATGCTTCCATGTAGGTTTCTCTTTTCTTTACTGAGTCTCCAACCAATCCCTTCTTAAGGTGTGTTGATATTGAGCTGGTTTCGAAGATTTGCCATGACAATGGAGCCTTAGTGTGCATCGATGGGACATTTGCTACCTCTCTTAATCAGAAGGCACTGGCACTTGGTGCTGATATTGTTATACACTCTGCAACCAAATACATTGCCGGACACAATGATGTATGTTGGCTTTGATGTCAATACATAACGAGAGAATTTGGATTACAAAAAGTTTTGAGGTTACTAATTTTTTTGCACTTAACCAGCTTGGTATGCTGTGTAGGTTCTTGCGGGATCAGTCAGCGGCCCTGAGAAGTTAATTTCTGTTATACGTAACCTCCATAACATTCTTGGTGGTGCTCTAAACCCTGTAAGTAGATAAACATTGGTCTTGGTTAATATGCTCTGTTATAGGATTGGTTTGCATTCGTTGTTATTGAATCAATGTTGTTTGAGCTCAACGAGTATGGATTTATGCAACTTTTATGTGTAATATCATTAACTAATGCTGATTTTCCCTTTCATTAGAATGCCGCATATCTGATCATCAGGGGCATGAAAACACTGCATCTTCGTGTACAGCAGCAGAACTCAACAGCACAGAGAATGGCTGAAATTTTACAGGCACATCCCAAGGTAAAAAATGGGATAGACTTGTTATCTGTGATTCAAAGATGCTTTAAGAGGGTTTGCACCTCGTAGTCATATCTTCCTCGGTGATAATGTTGTTTTCCATTCCTACGTGTCTATGTAGTGGTGACAGTAGTTGTCGTCAAAAGCTTCTCAAAATCTCATACCTTAGGCTGTACAGTAGAAGCTCATCTTACTTCAAAATTTCCACATTGTTATTTTACATATTCCAAACCACAATGGTCATGATTTTCTATGTAATACATGTTCATTAGCCATTCAATCAGCTACACATCTTTTTTATAGAACAATTGACAATTAGTTTTTAGCCCCTAAAGTACAGAGTGATTATTAATATAACCTTGCAAATTGTAGTGCATTTGCTGCACGATAATGCATTATTTTATCTTTACATTTTTGGATTTGTAATGTCTCATTTTCCACTGTAATGGGTGAGATCCGTCAATTTTTAAATGCAGATTAGGCATGTCTATTATCCAGGCCTGGAAAGTCATCCAGAGCACAAACTGGCTAAGAGACAGATGAAAGGTTTTGGTGGTGTGGTTAGCTTTGAGGTCAGTATTGCTAAAGCTGCACTGTTAACATAATTTTTTATTTTTTCTCTTCTGAATGTTCAACACATTGACTTCAATTAGGTTGATGGAGACCTACTGACTACTGCAAAATTTGTTGACACATTGAGAATTCCATACATAGCCCCTTCCTTTGGAGGCTGTGAAAGCATTGTTGATCAGCCAGCTATAATGTCCTATTGGTATGTCTTTCACCTTAACTACTCAGCTGCAACTTGAAAGTTTATGTTAATTGATGCTAGAGGAAAAATCATCATTAAAGTGTACATCTGTCACTAGTTGGCTTAATAACTTCCTTGTTTGTTAGAATCTAGTTTAGCAGAAGCTGCACATCTGTTATACATGCACTGTTTGCGAGAGAGGCATTTACTACATGTCATTTTGTATTATTCCATTGACAGCAATGTCTTAACATGTGTATGCCACATAAAATTGCTTGAAACAGGGATCTCTCTCAGTCGGACAGGGCTAGATATGGAATCGTTGATAACCTGATTAGGTTCAGCTTTGGTGTTGAGGACTTTGAAGACTTGAAAGCTGATTTTCTTCAGGCTCTGGATCACATATAAGTTGTGGTTACATCTTTTTCTTGGTCTTTGTTTAGCTGATTTTAACGTGGCATTATAAGTGTGTGTGTTAGAGCAATAGATATACATATGACATTGTACTAAGATGCTATCTAAGTATATCTTGCAGTTCCCCTTCCAAGAACGAAATGGTTCTAATTTCTATTTAGTACAAATGGTGGTTGTGTTGTTTAAATTCTTCAAACTGGCCTAATCTATTATGTTTATGTTTTTCAGCTTTTAAGAGAAGCTAGATATAGATCCACTAATTCTGTACAAATATGTAAAAACTGTGATTCATCTGAAAGTTGTGATTTTAATAACATGCTTATTGCTTGTGTAGTTTTATCCGCGATGGCTTCGTAGATATACATATAAGCTATTCATGATGGTTATTTCGTCATGCTTGGGAGTTGCAGATTCAAAAGCATGTTCTATGTGAGAATTATCATCTGAATGTTTCATTCAGAAAATTTTAAAATTTGTGAACTTCCCTGAAAGCATTTAGGATACCTTTTTGAAAGAAATCATCCCAGACAAAGGGACAATTACTTGTTGTATGAACCTTTGAAGAAGCTCCTCAGGTTTTTCTGCCTTTGTTGGCCTTAATCTGCCCTCCATCCATCTCTTGCCACATCTTCCGGAGTGGTTGTGGAAAGGAAACATTGCAAGAAGCTTGAAAAGTTCAACGATTTCTACGTCAATAAGGAGACTTTTTGCCTGCTCTTCCAGGTCCGGCCATTTTACTATTTCTGTTTGCTTCACTTTGTTTCTTAGTATAATTTTCTGATTATACAGATATTATGAAGTAACTAAATCTGATGAATATTCTTTGTGCTGAGTAACTGAAAACTTTGAAACTATCTGATCAACAGATTTATTTTCAAAGGATTTGATTTCTTAATTCAGTTGAAAAGGTAGGAATGAAGCACATAGCAAGGAAAAAGAAAACTCCGAGTTTCTTGTTTTCGTAGAACTAATATGAACATGAGGATGCAATTTAATTCCTACATGTAATGCAGATCTCATTTACATAGATATGTAAAAAATATATAAACTAAAAAGCTGTGTCTTGTAGTGAATTTGAACAGAAAATTTAGATAATATACTGATCTGGACTTGGAGATTGCCAGTTGCTTCTCCTTATTAACGTAGAAACCGTTGAACTTTCCGAACAGTAGGAAACTGCACCTGAAAAATTGATAGAGCGCCAGGATAGATGTTTGTGATACATCTTGTGAAGGCAGGGTACCTGATCCGAAAGATGGTATTTATATAGCTGTCTGACTCTGGGGAAAGGGTTTGCCAGGTGCAGTTCTTTGACTGGGTGATCTCGAGAAAATTGTGAATTGTAATAGTTTAGTTGTGAGTGGAGATCAGCCTTTATGAAGTTGGATGGGTTCAAAAGGATCTTCTTGGGTATATTCCAATACTCATGTGATTTCTTTATTTAGTCTTACTAGAATTGCTAACTTCGACGTGGCTTTGAATGGGCTTCTGCTCATTGTGCCATTGTGGTTATATATCATTGGATCCTTTCGACGAGAAATTTGATTATACATACGATAGAGAAAGGCTGGCATACGCTTTTGTTGGTTGCGGATATATTCTTTGGCGAAGTTTGCTGCTTGGATCGCACATTTTTTGTCGTTGCTGTAATAGTTTTGTTGATTGCGAATATATTCTTTGGCGAATATAATCTAATCTTGTTTTGTTTAATGCACTATAATTATTTCAGCTCGGAAAAGTGAGCTGGTTTTTACGTTTGTTTTTGATGCTTACTGTAGAGTGCCATTGCAGCAATCACTACATTCCTTCATGTTTGTTGGAAAGTCAGTTGCCGTAACAGCAGAAAGCTCGTCTTGCCATGGTACGCGTTGGTTAGCTATTATGTTGTCTGCAGTCGAGCTAACCTATCTTTGTGGTCATCTTCGTATGCAAGAAACAATGTGAAGTGATTCCATAATATTCCAGCTTCCTCGGGGAAGGAATCAATAATGTTTGTCGAAAATGTTGATATTTATGAGTTGATAAAGCCTACAGCCTCGCCTCCTGGTAAGAACAATGTTCTTCCATCTTGCTCTTGAATTCTGTACTTGTATATGTATTTATGTAATAATATTACTGAGTTGGATTGGATGCTCCATTGTTTCAGTTGTTTGAGTTGTGTGGTTATTCGTACAGAAGCTGGAACAGATGCTGCATTGAATTTGACATTGATTTTAACTACGAAGAACTTGTGTAGCAATGCCAATGACGGACAATGCAGGTAACAATTTATACATACTCAGATTATTTTTAAAATTATATACGTCAATCTAAGGGAGTGTTTGTTTGGGGATTGGATTTTGAGTTGTGATTTAAATAGTAAAAATTTTGAATTTGAATAGTCATTGATGAAAATAGGTGTTACTAAGATGTTTTGAATGTGAAATTAATTTTTTGTATAATATGGAAAAATGAAAAATAGATGTTTGATTAAATATTTTTAGGGAAAAAAAATAGAATGAATATTATATTTAAAATCCAATCCCCAAACAAATACACCCTTAATAAACATTTTTTATGATAGAAGAGTATTTTAGAAATAAAATTAATTAAAATTTTATTAGATAAAGATCACTCAAAATAGATCTAAACAAGAGTAAGTAGTTTAATACTCCATCCGTGTCATTACACTACTTTTAACTACTTACTATAATTAAAATACTATTATTTGGCGCCAAAAGTAAATGTAACCCTTGTAAATTTACGGAGAGACTATTACTATACAATTAATGTTTTCTTAGCATTACAAATTAAAAAACTATTATGTATTTTGTACAAAATATATTACTGTATCTTTTTAGAAAATATTAGTACATAAAAAATATTATGGATAAATTATATATCACTCTCTTGTTTCAGTAAAAATGTATAAAACATCATTTATTTTATTTATTATGTGAAATTATTTTGTATTAATATAAAATTTGTACAAAACATTATTTTCGTCTCAATAGTGATATTTGATTATAAATATGAATAGGATAATAAAATTTTATACAAATAAATATATAAAATATTTTAAATAAAATAAATAAATAATTTTTTATTTTATAGGTTTTTAAAATAAATTATCTAATTTTTACAAAAAATTATAAAAATATATTATTTATCAATTATTTATATATTTATTTATTAAATATTTTATTGGAATTAAAATCTTTATTTAAAATCAAATATTAATATTAGCTTTGGGTAAATAGAATGTTTTGTGTTAATTTTATATTAATAAAAAAAAGTTCTTTAGTTAAATACAATAGAATATTATTTAACTTAGTCAAATATTATTTCAATAAAAAATTCCAAGTGCAAGATCCAAACAAATTATGGTAATTATAATTAAATTTAATTTCATAGCCCAAAAATTTTGGCAACAGGGAAAAAATTATCAATAATTTCAAATTTTGGTAGCAAGAAAAGAATATTTATATGAGCATTTATTCTGAGGTTTACTAAAGTGACAGACCGTCATTGATTAGTGCGTCACAGATCTCCGTTTTCATCTGCCGTCGCCATTGGGAACTGCAAAATCTCATTCTCCGAGCAAAACCCTATCTAGCGTCGCCGCCGGCGTGAAATGGCCACAACCGCAATAATCCTCACGGTGTCTCAGGACGGTAGCGGCGATTACCGGACGGTGCAGGAAGCCATAGACGCGGTACCGCTCGGTAACACGCGTCGGACTGTGATTCGTATATCGCCGGGGGTTTATCAGCAGCCGCTTTACGTTCCGAAGACAAAAAATCTCATCACGTTTGCCGGAATCATGCCGGAGGTCACGGTGCTGACGTGGAACAACACCGCGACCACAATCGAGCACCACCAGTCGGCGCGAGTGATCGGGACAGGAACCTTCGGGTGCGGAACTGTCATTGTTGAGGGGGAAGATTTCCTCGCCGAGAACATCACCTTTGAAAATTCTGCTCCGCAGGTGCCGATATCACTTCACGCTTATAAATTCAGTCAGTCAGATTCTACGGGGTTACGTTAAGTAATTATCTAATGCCATTTTTGAAGTTTCGAGTGGTAATTTCACTGCCATATGAAAATTACGTTATCTATGTATGTAGGGTTCAGGCCAGGCCGTGGCGCTTAGAGTGACCGCTGATCGATGTGCATTCTACAACTGCAGATTTCTTGGATGGCAGGTATAGATCATTGAAATAAATAAATTGTGCTAGTTAGCGTTTTGAGGTTTTTTCAGTTAATTGCAAGCTCCAATAATGGTGGATGTGATGACAACTATAGGTTTTTTGGGGAATCATGATTTTCCTATTGAATTGCCCCCTCCCTACTGTTATTCTTGTTGATCCTGTGTTGCGATCATCTGCAACTAACAGATTTTAGAAGGGTGTATAGACAGACTGTTGAATAATGTTAGCAGAAAATGCCGATTTTCGTGACAAGGATTGAGAACAGTTTCTTAAAAAAATAAATAAATAAAAGCTATTTGCTTTGGTTTATGCTTTCTAGAACTTTGATAGTTTTTGTGAGAAAGATGGATTTTTGCTTAAATTGGGGATAACAAATGACATTTAGAAAATATGGCAGGCGGTTTATAGGAACGTTGTTACAGCTTGAAACTATATCTACAAATGCTATTGTTATTGAGTTGATGTATGCCATTTGAGGCATTCCTGTAACTATGAGTTCTGTTAGGTGAACCAACGCTTCCTTTCTTCGTCCAGAATTTGTAATTTATAGGACTCTTTTAATTAATGGTTTATGCAGGATACATTGTATTTGCACTATGGGAAGCAATATCTACGGGACTGCTACATAGAAGGAAGTGTGGATTTCATTTTTGGCAACAGCACAGCTCTGTTGGAGCATTGTCATATTCACTGCAAATCGGGCGGATTCATAACTGCTCAAAGCAGAAAATCTTCCCAAGAGACAACTGGATACGTGTTCTTGAGGTCTGTCTTCCTTCGCCTTTTGAGCAAACATTAAGTATGTATCGAATCTTCTGTCTGTCCCTTGATACCAGGGAGGCCTTTGACTGACATGATTGGGATTTGTCCCTCACACTGTAGCCCTTTTTCTGTGGAATATCATGCTTATGTTACTTGAGTTATCGCTATTATTTGGGCTTGCGGAGATTCTTTTTCTTGGTGTTTTTCCATCAATGCAGTTACATTAACTATAGCTTCTGCCGTATAATTAGCAACAGTGTTGCGATGTAATTGGTCTTGAAATTTCTCCCAAAGACATGATGTGGGACTTATGTAGTAATTCGATGCAGATGTGTAATCTCTGGTAATGGAGATGCTCAATATACGTATCTTGGACGCCCATGGGGGCCTTTTGGGAGAGTGGTCTTTGCCTACACATTCATGGATAAATGCGTTCGACAAGTGGGTTGGCATAACTGGGGAAAGCCTGAAAATGAAAGAACCGCTTGCTTTTACGAGTTCAAGTAAGTTTTTTTTTAAACTTGTTCGCCTTAATAATATGATTGTGCTTGCTTTTACAAAAAAAACTTGTTTGGCTTAGGATTGTTCCATTTATGACGAAAATGAGCAAAAAGCATAAAAAGTAGGACAAGAAGATTTGAACTCATTTTATGTTATCAAAGTTAAGTGAATTTGGGCGGAGGTAGTTAATATCTTGATGCAATTCATTCATTATATTCGATATATATATATGTATGAATGTATGAAGGTGCTTTGGGCCGGGTAGTTGCTCATCAAAACGCGAGACATGGGCGAGAGAGCTGGTGGATGAAGAAGCTCAAGATTTCATCACACACTGCTTTGTCGACCCGGATCAACAACGGCCATGGCTGGCTCAGATGATGGCGATACGGGTACCCTACTCGGCTATGTCGTAACTATGCATCATACTCATATTCATATGTATTACTGTTGGATCAGTTGCAGTTATGTCGATTGTCATGAAATAAGGAACTGTTGGAATATGATTATTAGTTTTTCTTTTTTATGTATGTATATTGTGAACTACTTACGAATTGATCTCATTCATGTCTGTCTATGTTAATAAATGATACCATAGAATATAATTATATTGCTAGTTGATGATTCAAAAAATGATAAATTAGATAAGATAAATATTATTGTAATTTTTAATTATATTTTTAGTTTGATAATGTATTTTTATAATAATTTAGATATGATATTTTACAAGAATTGAATAATATAAAAATTATAAAAACTAAATAATAGTAAAAAAAATAAATAGAAATTCAATCGTAAAATAAATAAATATATAAACACAATACGCTCGTAATTTTATTTTTTTCTATTTCTCTGCGTATATGATAGAAATAAAACTAAAGAATAGAAAATAGTTTATTTTCCAATCCTTGAATTCTTTGTGTCAATTGAATAAGAGAAATTGAGACATTTTTATTTTTCAATTTCAATTTTATCTCTATCTATATCTACCATCCTTTGTTCGTATGTATATTTGTTAAGTTGTCTCAAATGTGTTTCGATTTTTTTTAGGGTTTTGATATATAAATTTTAAAAAAATAAATAAAATTGTAAACTAAATTTATTTTAAGAATAATATTAACGAAAAATATAATTTTACAAAATAAAATTTATTTTAATTATATATTCAATAAACATAGCTTAGATCTAATTTAGGCTCAAATTTAGAATGTATAGATTTCACACTATATGAGAGGTGTTACGTTACAGCAGTCCGCCCTCTCATCAGATAGGTGCTATTTTTTGTTTTGTATTTATTTTTAATTACAAATTATATTTATATTCTATCCATTTTATTTCATCTTTAACCTTGTAAAAATAAATATAGAAAATGAGTTATTGTAGAATGGTCTTAGACATGACTTTTTTTTTTTTGTTTTTTTGATAATTGGATTGAGTGTAAAGCAAAATAAAATGCCGTCCCATTTGTGTTATTTCGTTTAAAATCTTATTTGTATTGATGATGTTTTAGTTGAGTGGTAAGTTTAATTAATTTCGAAATAAATAAAGAAATATACATGTAGAAATTAATGTGTGTAAATTCTTAACCGTCAGAGGCCAAAGCAGATAAGATAGATTACCAACAACCCGGCCCTACCCGGCCCAATTTTAATGGTTTAAACGGTCCAAAATATGGGAAAAAAATGGAAATGCGGGAGATCGAACCCCGTGCCTCTCGCATGCAAAGCGAGCGCTCTACCATTTGAGCTACATCCCCTAATATTTTTTAATATAGTAATTATTTTATTTCAATATTTAGATGATTCTCTCGTTCACTGAGGGAAGAATGAGAAAATACCCAAAATATATCGGCAATACCGAATTTTCGGTATATTGTAAATTTCTGTACTGGAAAAAGTATCTATTTTTTATTTTTTTTATATATACCGAAAAAATCAACGTATCGAATTATTTTTTATATTTCAATATTTTTGATATAGAATTGTTTCACAGGTACAAAATTTAATATACAATTTATATAAATAAAATTTTTTAGCCTACTTCAAAAGTGATTTTACTTGCATATTTTAAATGTTGTGTATGTCATTCACTTACTGTTTTTAATTCATACCAAGATCGTTTAAATTTTGGTATAATACGGTATAATACAGTATATATGTCAATACTGTCTAAATTGCAATATTTCGGTATAATACAATATATATCGATACCGTTAAAATTTCGATATTTCGGTACAATACAGTATAAATTAATACCGTTGATATCTTGGTATAAATCAATATATACCCGATAACTTACAAATAGTTCATACCAAATAATCGGTACAGTATAAAATATAAATCATACCGAATTTTCGATATACCAAACTTTTGGTATAGCGATTTCTCAGTTCATGCGATATACTGAACTTTTGGTATACCAATTTCTCAGTTCGACAACGGTATGATAAATTACCATACTGAAAATTTTAATACGTTAAGCAATATACTATATAAGTTTCGGTATCCCGTACCAAACCAGCCCTTAACAAAGACAAACCAGAGAGAGAGAGAGAGAGAGAGAGTTGTTCAGTGAATAATATCATCCATCCTTAACTGTGGTTAAGTATCAGAATTTGAAGAGTTGAACTTGAATGAACGAACACCCTCACTCACTCACTCACTACTCAATTCCTGACGCATAAATTATGATTATGCCAAATTAGAAGAAGAAGAATAAAGGCCAAAAAAAAAAAAAAAAAAAAGAGATGGTCTAAAACCCCCGAAAAAGCCGACATCAATCAAAGACATCTAGCCTAACTGGGTTTGGTTTGGTTTGACATGAGATGATCCATCCTACTACATTGATCTCAGATCAGGATTTGGACTCCGGCGACAACAATGATGATGACGGAGGCTCAGCCGAGCTGGTAACAATGATATATACACCATAGCATAGCATAGCATCATCAACTTTCGATGCTCCCTCCCTCTTCAGAGGACGCGAAGCTGCGCAAGGAATGCCGCGCACAGGTCAAGAAACAGGAACTGCGGCCCCTGCACCCGCTGCAGATCCAGCAGATACTTGTCTTCCCGGGTTTTGTATAGCTGGCATCACAACATCCATCACACACATCAATTTCCATTTTTATAATAATATTATTGAAGGAGTGAAGATGACCATCTTTTTTACCTGCACTTCGAATTTGATCACGTTCTGTGGCCTGGAGTTGCTGTCGTTCTCCACAATGGCTATCGCAGACTCATCTCCAAAATAGTTGCCAGCATCCAGCATGCCTTCTCTACGCCCTGGGCTGCCCGGGACCCATCTGCATTTCATGTTGTACTGCCCGATCTTTTTCCAGTAAACGTTCAGTTCTTGCAACGCTTTCAGAACTTCTGTCATTATCTCTCGAGGATGGGCTCGCGACTGCAAATATTAATAAGCAAAACAGATAGATACATGAATAATTGTCAACAAAAGATGCTGCTGGGGCCAGTAGGAAACAATAACAAATTTATTACGATTTCTATAGGCAAAATAAATCATTGTTGGGCTAATATTCTTGGTGAAGTAATAATAATGGCTCTTTTCCACATTTGTAAGAATGAAATGCAAAAGATACGGCGATTAACCTGGAGTCCAAGTGCCCATTTCCGATCAACCGGATACCTGCTCCCCCCAAATTGTGGATAATCTATTGCCCGCCCAACAGGAGATGCTATAGTCTCATTAGGATTCATCCGATTGTATCCATATTCCTATGGAGATAGATCCCACATATAATACTCAGATGTTAAAAATTCAGATACTGTGAAATCAGCATGAGGATGACGAAAAAAGAACTCTAAAATTAGAGATAACAAATGGATATATAGTAACAGCATCATCTTCATGAATATAACGCAGGAAGACAGCTACATTTATTTATCATGAATAGTCGAAAATAGTATTAAGTATACGCACCATGTTCTCCTGAAATTCAGATCCAAGGTAGCCACTAGAAACACGGAACCGGTTGTCTAGCAACAAATAGTACGTAACAGTCCCCTGTGAGTGACAACAGATTAGGAAACATCAGCGGTGACATTAAACCTTCATGACAAACTAACTTAACATTTGAGTCATCAACTACAACTACAACTACACAATACTCACCTCATTCTGAACCCTGCTTCGCAGCGAATCGACAAGTCCATTCCGATCAAAACCCATCTTAACAACTTCTTGGAGAATCTCTTCATCAATCTGAAATTGAACAGCATAAATAAAATTTAAGATCACCAAAAGAAATAAAAAAATCCAGAATGAACATCCTGTAGTAAACAATAAGATACATTCAGATTTACAGCTATTTTTTTATGATCCGAGAACCAAGAACAGCATTTATTACTTTTGAAAAAGGGTCTTCACATGGCACTGAAAATTTTAGATACCTTTTTTGCCTGTTGAGCTGTATCCGGTGGTGGCACAGCCAAATAGCGCGGGAGATGAGCTTGAAACCAGGGATGAGCACGTATCTCAGGAATAGTCATCCGCTTCATAGGATCAACTATAAGCATCCTCGGAATGAGATCTCTAGCACCAGCAGATAAATGGCTTGGAAGTGTATAAATTCCACCCTATTATATATTAAACAGAAAATGATGGAATAATTTAGTAATACACACTTTTGTTGTTGATATAGACACAAAACAATTCAGTAGGAATAAACCAAACACTCAAGAAGTCAAATCTAAAAATCAACAGAGTTTGGCTCAGATGCATGCAAGCAAGGAACTTTCAGAACAAAATAAGAGCCAATCCTGAACTAACATAAGATAAAAGGTGTATAACTTCTACAGCACAACACAAAATCAAGCAAATGGAAACAGTCGAAGCTAGCATTTCAAAGCTAGTATAACTTGAGCTCAAACATAGCTGTTCATCTCAACTCAAATACAGTCCAGTATGTTTATATAACTCTTGTACCACAATCATTATCGTAAAAACTAAGTCACCCTACCACATGATTTCACCTCATTGTGATCTACTTCATGCTTCGCAGGAGCAGTAAAAAAGCTAATTTACACACACCAAAGAAAAACAAGGGACCCATATGTGACAGCAACTAAGATTCAGTAACCTAAATTAATTCTCTAGATTATTAACATCATAAGCCTAAGAGTAGAAGCTACAAAAGACAGAAAATTTGTTGCACAGAAAGAATATGAATACCTTAATCTTTTTGAAAAGGTTAGGAATGTTCTCATCATCAAATGGAAGGGTGCCACAAAGGAGTGCATAGAGAATAACACCACAGCTCCACACGTCGACTTCAGGGCCAGCATATAGTTTCCCAGATATAACCTATTGAAGAGATGCATATAAAATAAAAGGTTTTGGCATCCTGATTTTACATTTAAAAGGGTAGAAATTTCTTCAATCGCTCTAAATACCTCTGGAGCAGCATAGTTGGGACTTCCACAGCTTGTCTTCAGGAAATGACCGTCACGCATAATATTGCTCAAACCAAAATCAGCAATCTTCACATTGCACTTTGAATCCAACAGCAGGTTTTCAGGCTTCAGATCTCTATGAACCACCATATTTCTGTGGCAGTACTCCACTCCAGATATAATCTACAATCACCCAAACACAGTTAAACTAAGTATAAGACTCGAGTAAATGGAATTCTATGAGAAAAACCATGCAAGAAAGCACCCTACCTGCTGAAAGAAGTTGCGGGCCTCTTCCTCATGCAGCCTGCCCTTCTCCACAATATAGTCAAACAACTCACCAGACTTCACATATTCCATCACCACATAAATATCAGACTGCGTCTCGACAACTTCATAGAGACGAATAATATGCGGATGCATAAACAATCTGAGAATTTTGATTTCCCTTCTTACTGCCAAAAAATCATCACTCTTAGATGAGTGCAAAATAGCTCAAAATAATTTGAGATAATTTACTTCTGCAATGCTGAACTAAAGCAATGAAAATAAACGTAAAACAAATAGCATCACAATGAATTCGGCATACACAGCATCCTGCTTCAATGTATACTGTTGGGCCATATCCATTATTCAGGAACATAACCATAAATCTTTAAAAAGCATATAGTTTATACAACTCAGGTAGCTTGTTATTTTTTTCTACAGGGAATGGAAAGCAATGTTATTTATTGTCCTTATAGAGGGATTGAAGGAAAGGGGTGTGAATAAAACTAAAAAAGGTTGCTTGGCGGATCGACTCACCTTTCTCTTCCATATCCATGTTCTTTATTTTCTTGCGGTTAAGGATCTTGACAGCAACCTTGTGGCCTGTCAATGCATGTTCTGCAATTTTAACTTTACCAAACGATCCAATTCCCAGTGTCTTGCCAAGCTTATAGTTCCGCAAGAATGAATCCACACTACTACCCTCTTGGATTGCCCCATCCATATTCCTACATCATATACAGATATAAAAACCGGAAATTAAATGTACATTTGTCGAAACAAGCACGTGGCATTATCGTTTAAACAAGTCAAGCACATCATTAATGCATCATCATCTCTGCAGAAACATTTAATGGGACCTAATTTTGGGTCCGACAAAGATCACACCTGTTTCATTCAAAACCATAAATATACCAAATCAAGCCTCGAGATTGCTAACACATGAATTTAATGGCGTCGCCGTGCAGCTATGATAGATAGGGAAACACATAGTTTCAAGCCTCTTACAGATTGATAATATCATAAAATTCCAAAAAAAAAATTAATCAATCAATTAACAGCTAAAATCATTCTAATCTCAAAGGCAACAAAAATCTTAGCCAAGTCTCAAACATTTCCCCCATCCAAAATCCCAAACTCCGATAACAAAATCCTTCCACAAAAATCCATTTCACAATGCAAATCAAGTACCAAACAGCTAATCTCAGCTCGAAAACCAAAATCCAACAACAAGCATCAACCTCCACCGAATTCCTCAAAATCCATCCTACATAAGACAAACCGCCAATCCCTCCATGCCCTAAAGCTCGAAACTCCACAATTGAACCAGAAAAACAAAATCCCCTCCAAATCTCAAACGCCTAAACACGTAAACCCACTCCCCGCCCGCACAGATCTGAAACTTCCACATAGAAAACAACAACACAACACGCCGAAAACAACTCGAGGCAATTAAACACAAAATCAAAATGCGCAGACGATAATCCCGAGGAACAAAGGGCAGCAAAATCGAGGGGCGGGGCGGGGAGGGCGAAAGCAGACTCACAGAGAAATCATACGACGACGCAGCAGAGCGAGCGAGAGGAGAGCGGGGCGGGGGAGAATCCAATTATTGCGGAAGAGGCGTTGCAGACAATATTTAGAATAATGAAAATGAAAAATAAATAAATAAAATAAATAAATTATTAGAAGCCTTTTTATTTAGGCGCTGAGAGAGGAGATTTGATTCGGTGCGGTGACGTGTACCAGAATCGATTGCCTCCTCCAATCGCCTTTCGCCGGAGTTAAGACCTTCTTCTTTATTTATTTATTTATTTATTTATTTTTAATTAATACTATTATTATTAATTACTTTTTGCATTTAATTTGAGTGTGTTTATAGTTTTTTTTATAAATTTAGATATATATAATTATAAAATCATTATAGAAAATAGTATTTTTTTTATGTTTTTCTTTTTTTTTAATATATGTATTCTGTATTTTTTTAATATTTTTAATAATAATTTAATTTTTGAAAATTTTTAAAAATAATAAAAAATAAATATTTGATGTAATATTTTATAAAAATATGTATACAATATGATATTTATTTTAGAAAAATTATCATGGATGAATAATATCAAAATTGGCATGAATATTGATTTGTAAAATCATCAAATTAGTTATAATCTAAAAATAATAATTGTCAAGAATGAGATAATTTGTGTGCAAAGTAATTGTTGTAGTATTTTATAAAGTTTTATAAAATTCACAAATATTTGTAGCTTGAACAATTTCATTTTTGTAAAAGGTGACTTACATAAGTTGGGTTTTGTATTCATGAATGTTATACTTATATGATATTATTTAATATATAAAATTTTTATCTTATTTATGTTCTATTATCTACTATAAATTATAAATTGTCCGGACGTGCCACATCATGTGATGCTTGTGCTCGTCACGCGTATATGATTGTCCGACCATGTTACATGCTCGTGCTCTTTTCATTAATTAATGTGTTAGCACGATGCTAAAGTACTGTTATTTAAGAAGTAGATAAAATATCAATTTATGAAATTAAATGAGTAATAGTAAAATTTATTTTTAAAAAATATTTATAATTCAAATTTTAAATTTTTTTTAATAATAATCAATCTTTCTTAATGGGATTTTATTTTAACTTTTGATTTGAATATAATGTTTTATGAAAAAAAAAAAAAAAAAAAGAACAACGTTTAAAAATATGTAATTTTGTCATAGTATAGTATGTTAATTATATGAATTGTTTTACATTTTTTTTATGTTTTTAATATTAATTTTATACTCTATATATCTACATTTTTTTTTTTGTAAGTATTAATTCCAACATCTACTTGTATTATAACATATTTTCTACTTAATTATTTAGTATTAACAAATTAATTCAAATTTCTAAAACTATTCTTAGGTATTAATTAATAGAGAGAGAAATAAATAATACTTTCTCTAGTTGGAATTATGCCAAATTGGCTGTATCAGTATTTGAATGTAAAAATGGGTACGTAAACAAAATAAAATAGAGGTATTATAAAAAATTATTAAATAATTAATAATAGAATAGTAAGATAAATAGAAGACGATTGTTTAAAATAAATTATTACTCCCTCCGTCCCATATAACATGGGTGTATTAGCGTAGACACGGAAATCTAGGTAAAGTATAATTAGCAAGCAATAAAAAAATGTATTAGTAAAAATAATTATAGACTGAGATAAATAAATAATTATAGATTGAGATAAATAAATAATTTAATTAAAATTAAAAAAATTATAAAATTTAAAATTTAAAAGTGGAGAGAGTATTTAGTTTCCGTTCTATTAAAAGTGTCCACGTTACTGTATAGATAAGAGATCTTTTTAAATATAATTAGTAAATAATTAACAAGTGTATCGAATTATAAATTAAAATTAACTAGATAATTTTATTAATATTTAAAAAAATTATAAATGGTATAATCACTTAAAAGGAAAGAAAAAATTATATATGATAGACCCCAAAAAAAAAAAAGCATTTTATTAAAATAAAAATAATAAAATTATGAGTAAATAAAATTTACTTACTATAAAAAATAACATAATTATTATAGAATATACAAATGTTGTAGTATAAAAATATATAAGAGAATATTTTGCACATTAATAAATTACATATTCTCTATATATTTTTTTTAAATTTCGACAATAACTATGTATATATATATACAAATATACATAAAGAAGGCATCAATTACAACATGTTAATATTAACTCTTTGAAAAAGCATATAGAACATGGAAATTTTGAATTCCATCAATCAAATTGTATACACATCAACCACTGTGAAAAAGACAACATAGTTTACACATGGTTCGTTTAACGTGACTTTTCCGTCGGGCCTGGTTTACAGGATATTAGGTTCGACCGGGAGTTTATCCAGTGCACACTTTCGGATAGCGAATGCGGATTCCCACTTCATCCAAAAAAAAAAAAACCCACTATATATATGGAAGGAAATAAATTTGAGTCCAAAATCCGTCGATATCCTCTTCTCTTGTAAACATCTAAAAAAAAAATAACAATTGCGGATTCTCAAAATTCACATAAAAACTTAGTACAACACAATCAACCTCATGATATATGACAAAAAAATAAGCTTTTATACTCTCCAATAGTCTCCATGGCCGATCGAAAGACATGACACTCAGATTTCAAATGATGCTTCTGCTTTTGGAATGTACAAAAATACTTGGTTCGATTTGATTGAATAACTTGCCGCTGCTAAGGATGAGAGCCCGAGGAACAAAGAAGGAACTAAACTAAAACTAAATAGCAATGTTGAAACATACGTAGATTTCAGTAGTCGGGAATTGAAGCAAAGTTGTATCCTTCGGTACCCCGCCAAGAATAGTAGGCGATCCGCGTTTCATAGAAGCCTGTGATGATATCAAGAGAGTAGATTTAAAAACAATGGAATGCTCGGACGTAAATTCTTAGAAAAATGAAACAACGAGGGAATTTTCAGAAAACTCGTGAAATTGTACAATACAACAACATTTCAGAAAACTAATTCGATGGTCACATTCATAATATCACAAAATTCTGTAACCCATACACTTGAAATGAATGATAAATATTTACCCAGTCGCATAATATATTCGTACAAAAATATTTTGTATTAGATCGAATGTATATTTGGTTCGATATCATTATACTATCAAAAACACTGGAAAATACTTCCAAACACAACAGATCGCCAATGTATTCTACGTCCGGGTTGGAATGAAAGGACTTCGAAGCTCAAGGAAAATCAGTATATATGAATGATGAAGTAAGCATAATAACAAGAAACCAAGGGAGTGTTCTTTCTACAAAAAAACATAATTTCCAAAAAACATATTTCCCCAAAAAATAATACATTACACACACATTTATTATTGTTATATCGCTTACACAATTCGTCAATTACCTAAACATCACATACAAAAAATTTTCTTCAAATTATTTCACTAAACAAACAAACTCCAATACTCATGTAAACAAAAAATTATTTTATACAACTAATTGAGCATCATATAAGTTAATCTTAATTTATACCGAGGATTCATATCCACATCCCAAAATAGAATCACTTTATTTAAATGAGAACCGCAGAGATATTACCTGGCATGAAAGCAAGAAATCCGAGTCCCAATAGGCTGTATGCTTGAGAGAGCTCCCCTTGCATGTGGCCAGTGAAGATGAAAATGGAAAGCAAGAGAAGAAGGCATCCGAGGAGGAGCAGAAACAGTGCTAGAAATATTGATTTCCAAGGAATTCTGTTGTAGGTTCTGGGTGAATAATCAAATCTGGGATCGTGTCTATTCTGGTCACCATAGTCGTCGTTTTCATCAACAGGTAGATGGCTGTAACGGATATTTCGTCTAGATGCCATACGGTTCAATACAGGTCGGAAATTTCTTGCTGGAATAGAACCTACACATTTTGATTCAAAACAGAGCAGTTATTAAAATAAGGATAAGTAATGAAAAAGAAAAACAACTTCAGAACAGATCGACAACACCTTTCATGCAACATTTCTCTGAACACAGTTGTAAGGAGAAAGTAACAGCTGCTAGTTCTTGCATGTATCAATGCATTCATTTTCTACAAGACTGTACATAACCATCATTCTCACCAACCACAACTCCAGCTTGAATCAAGCAAAATATTTTCGTATGTTGAAATTCTCTTCTAATAAACTCCTTAGAAATTAAATCGCTGGGTCAGACTTCAATAGGAGAATAAAATAATCATGAGTCACATCCAAATCAGCATATGATCCGTTAGTATTGATGCATGATCAAATTTCCATTCCTAGCCTATTATAAACTGGATAAACTACATAGAAAAACTATATAATGGTGTATTATGCTTGGAAACATACGTAGTTTTCATAAAGTACGAGCATGGAGTTGCGAAGGGATTACGAGCACTGTGATCCATGTATTAACCGCACCAGCTAATATTAATCATTTGAGGCCTTGTTTACATAAGGTGATGATACTAGGGACTATTCAATCCTCAATTCCTCATGTGTTTATCACATTTTATACTACTCCATAATAATTACGCCCCCATTGTACACCTCATGATAGGAGAACTGATTCATCACAGGAAGATGTAAGGTGAGAAGCAGGCCGCATTACAAAACTCTATAAGCATGTTTAAATCTAAACTTTTCATAGATAATACAAAACTTGAACCAACAACACACTATATCCAATAATCTATACAGCAACCAATTTTGGCAAACTTTGGATGATTGAACAAATCCAAAAGAGAAATTTGCTTATTAAAATGTAACAATGCAAGAAAGAACAAATTGAAATATTCTTTTCACATGAACAACATCAATTACATAGGCTGTTGCCAATACTAATACTTATCACAAACTATGGAAGATGAAACAAAATCGATGATTTTCATAATACAAATTTAATTTATATAACAGAAAGGAAAAAAATAAAAAAATAAAAAAAAATCTGAAAATACTTTATCCACGTGAATTACATCAACTCCAAGAGCTAATACCTGTTTTTCTTGCTTTCCATAATGATACATACAATTTTATTTACTGAAAATAAAGAAAGTACAATTTTCAGGACGAATCTAACCTAATTTTGAATTACCAAGGAATGAAAGTTTCCATTCACTCGATTAAACATGCTCCGTGAAAACATTTTTTCGTTAACGAAACTGCATAATTCAATATCAATTAGCATTCACAATCAAATTCCCGAGTCATCATTTAGCCGCCATTCCCCACATTCTCCCCGTATAACCGATCCATTTACGCACGCATACACAGAAAAGCTTTAAACTTCGGACCACCTAAAATAACATATAAAGATGATCCATCCACCACAGGTTCGACACTAGCCTCTAAACATCATACCAAACAAAAAAATCCAGTTCCAATAATTTATCATGAAATTTATCAGCATTTTCCAGCGAGCATGAGCGTCAAATTTACCAAAAACCTCTAGAATCATTAGATGCAGCGAAATTTAGCCAGCAAATAAAAAACCAACCTGAAATTAGCAATTGCTGCAAGACGTCAGCTCGCAGGAAAGCGTCAGCACACAAATGGAATTATTCGCTCAATCTCCGAAGAGAGAAGATCCCAGTCGGGACGAACGAATGATCGTTAAAGATAGGCGACGATACTAAGCTTCGCTCAAAGAACTTCTGAGCGGAATAAACCGATCTAGATATGTGGAAACTTACTGGGCCTTAATGGGCTATTGATTGGGCCTACTTTATTTTATTATAGTCACAGTGACGGCTCTGCTTTTGGTCCCACAATTTCATATGCTTTCCCCGTTTTGTCACTCTCTGATTTTTCCTTTGTCTTCTCCAACAAAGTATATATATATATATATATTTTTCTTTTTTTTTTTATAAATTATATAACACCCTTGAGTTTTTGTAAATATATGTATTTTATTTATTGCGTGAAATCCTTGTATTAATATAAATTTCGCACGACAGTCTGTGATTTTATACAAATAAAAAATAAAAAATATTTTAAATAATTTTTTTAATAATATAAATAAATAAATAATTAATTAATCTTTTCGTGCAAACTTTATACTAATATAAAAGTTTCACGCAATAAATAAAACATAAATATTTTGTACATTTTTATTCAAATAGGAGGGAATATTATATAATTTATCATTTTTTTTAATAAGACCTCCATGGATCTCAACTCCAGAGTCAATCCACATCCCATGTACGAATTGAAATCCCGGACCCCCCAAGAATGTCTCATGTAATAAAATCCTGCTATTTTTCGTTGACATTCCAAATCCTAGTAGAAATCCTTATCCAACAAAGATCTGAGAAAATAATAATACAACACAGCTTTTTGCACAACATCCAAAAGAAAACAACTATTATACATTTTCTTACATTATATGCATGCTTATTCCAGCATGATGCCATTTCTGCTGCAGAAGGTTTGAGTTTTTTCTTCTCCAGTTACCGTTATAAGAAGCAGAGGTAAAACCATGTTTCTTCCTCGTATCAAGCCGCAATTTGTTCTTCTTTGAGCTGCAAAGTCATCTGTATTTGGTCTTTGTTCATCCCAAACTCCGTCGCTGCCGTCGTCGTCGATCCGTCGTTGTTCTCGGGTGCTGTCTTCTGTGAACTTCCGGAAGCGCTGCTATTGCTTTGTCTCCCTACCGGGATGTCGTGATTATGCTTCCCCTCATATGTAGTTATCACGGCTTTTGGGTCTGCCGATGCCCTCTCCACATGTTTCCGGACATTACAGCCTTGATATGTACATCTGTAGTAACTCCTGCAGAAAATGGACTCGAAAATGACGGGCATGGCGCAAAATAGGCAATCTGTTTGGTAGTATTTTCCAAACAGCGCAATCGGAATAAGTAATTTCAAAATAAAAATGACAAAAGATCGAACCTTGGATAAGGATTCCCCTTCACTACTTTCTGTCCGTATTTTCTCCATTTGTACCCATCGTCCAAGAGATCGACCTCACTTCTTGTCTGCAAGACAATCTTCGATTCTGTAACAGTTTGATGCGACGGAGCTGCAATTGACGGCGCTGTATCCCTGCACCTGCATCTCCAATAGTTAAGGGTCCGTTTGAATTGACTTAAAAAATAAGCAGAAGTCAAAAGCTTAGGTTTTGTGTTTGAATGAATCATTATAAAAGCAATTTTTCATTAAAAAAAAAAGTATTTTGGATGTAATAGAATTGAAAGTGCTTTTAAACTGTTAAAATTACTCAAAATGACATATTGTGAATAAAATTGTATTTCTATAAAAATTACATATATTTTTAAATTTTTTAATTATATATAAATATTCTAAACAGAAGTATAGAAAATGTATTTTAAAAATTTAATTATTTAAATTTGGTATCTCAATTATAACTTTAAATTTTAATTCAAATACTACAATATATAAATTAAAAATGATAATATAATTATGTATTTGTTTTTAAATTTTTAAAAATGTAATATATAAATTAATTGTTTTTATAATATATTATAGCATTGTATTTATTATTATTATTATTAAGAATAATACAGTTTTAGCTGAAAAGTGTTTCTGCTTATTTCAGACGCTATTCTCAATGTGCTTTTGGAAAAAAGCTGCTTCTGCTTTTGGACAAAAGCCAATGCAAACAGCTACACAGTGCTTTTTTTAGAAGCAGAAGCCAAAAACAGCAGCTAGAAGCCGATCCAAACGGGGCTTAGATTTCCCAATAGATGAAATTATCATTTCAAGAACTAAAATAAATAGTCGAATATGTAATCATTTTACCTTCTTTTGGGGGTGGGTTCTTCGCCATCCACAACCACTGCAGTATCTTTCCTGTCACTGTTTTGACTAGCAACCACACGATGCTCGGTTGCCTGGAAATTTGTGGGCTCGGAGCAAGCTGGTGCAGGCCCGTTGTTTTCGATCCTCGATTGTGAGTTTGTCACTTTGTCTGAAGCATTATTATCCTTTCCTCTTTTCTGAGGCTGAGGCGGATCGTGATTATGTTGTCCTTTGTAGGTAATCTCGGATATACTGCCATCTACGGACCGTTCGACTTTTTTCTTGACGGGGCAATTGAGATGCGTGCACTTATAGTAGCTTCGGGGGCACTCACTTGCCTTAACTTGCTTTTGACCATATTTTCGCCAGTTGTATCCGTCGTGAGCTGGTTTATCAGCGGAGACCTTTTTCTCGGACTGGGAAGCTTCAGAGGAATCTATCTTTGAAGTCTCGGGTTCGTTTGGCAATTGTGTTGTCTGAAGTTGTGTGTGTTCAGCTAGTGAAGAGGAAGAATGGTTTGCCGGAGTCTCTGTGGAGGAATTCTGAAACTCGGCGCGCATTTGCTTGAAAGATTGGGAGAATGCTGCCTGAGCCGTGACGTGCGCAAGGGCCTGCTGGTGGGACATCCCGAACGGGCTCTGCAAAAAAATTCCAAGCAGTTCTTATTAAGTTCATGTTGCAGAATGGAAGCATAGTAATACTTTGAATCACATGACAAGTGTTCATCATCGAACTTTCTAATTCTCATTACAATTCCTATCTATAACTTCATTTGCAGACTTGGTTAGGATTCGAACTTAAACTGGATTGTAGCTTTGATCCTATACATATTATCATTATTATTGTCCCAAAAATTCAGATCATCAAAACTTCATCATGTAGCTTTTACAAAAGCATCAATGGATAAAAAGTTTGTGAGACAATTGGACGAACATTCTAGACTCCTACAAACATTCTTGCACAATCTATAAATTCAAGAAGCAGACAAAGATGTTGGAAATGAAATAAGATCATTGAACTCGGGAATTTGTGTTGAACTTAGACAGAAAAAATTAAGAACCCTAAATTCCTGGAATCAATGTCGTTTTCGAAATGCAGCAATCAATCAGACATCAGCAGAAATGAAGAGCTCAAATTCAGGTTAGGAATTTTGTGATTCCTCATACAGAAGAAATGGAGACGCGATTCATATATGATTCAGCTAAACTTTTGTATGAAGCCCCAAATTCTAGGGTTTGAAATAGTTTCGATCAATTTTGACTCCCATCGCTGAACTCGATGTAAAAAAAAATAAAACAAATCTACAGCATAGTCGGAAGTTTACCTGAAGTGGAGATAGAAATCCCGGTGAATTGAGAAACCCCGGGCTGAGCCCCGGCGGCGCTGCGAACAAGGAGCTTAAATTGTCGATCTGCAGAGGCGGCGGCGCCACCGCCAAATTCATCGGTCGATTCAGATTATGGCCACCGCCACCGCCACCGCCATCTCTAGGTTTGTCTCCACGATTCCCCTCTTTCCCCAAATCAGCGGCCGACGCGAAACCCTGCTTCGCGGCGAGCGGGGACGCCATGGCACCGGCGAGAAGCTGGGAGAAGGAGAAGGGGCTGTTCTCCGGGAACATATTAGAGACAAGGGTCATCGGGCCCGGGCTGAAGCCGGGGCCCGACCCGGTGAGGAACTCCATGGAAGCGCGCGGCGGGACGACGATAGTCGGCTTGGATTTCGCCGCGGCGGCCGCATCTTCAACGCTTTCCCCCATAGCTGAAGTCGATAAAATCGAAGAATTAGAGGCGAAAACGGCAAGAAATCTGGGATTTGCGGAGTAATCTTCTGGTCACCGACTCAACTGCAGCGCGTCTGATGTGTAGATTGATAGATAGATATACAGACAGATGCACTGCTGCGCAACTTGTGAAAAGGAAATTTTATTAATAGTATTAAAAAAATTAAAAATAAGGAAACTGTAGTGCACTGCTGTGGAGCCCAATTCAGCATATTCTGAATAATAAGGTTTTCCTTACACAATATATTTTGAAATTTTGATGATATTTCTGCCTTCTCAAATTTTAGTATGAATTTGGTATTAAAATAATATTTAATAAAATATTTTATAAAAAAATATATATATTTTTGAAAAATGCAGACTTCAAAATAATAAAATTTAAAAAATTTAGAATAAAAAAACATTTTTCATCTCAATTGTCTTTCATTTTTTTTCTTTTTTCTTATTTTAATAGTAAGTTATTATTATTATTATTATTTAAATTTATTAAATATATATTTAACAAATATAAATTAATTTAATTAATTTTATACAATATAACATTACACATTAGCCTTCGCTAATTTATAAAATTAAATTATTTTAATTATAAATAAATAAATATTTTTTTATTTCTTAGTATTATTTAAAATTTTATTCTTTATAAAATAATATTCATAATATATATTTTATTAAAATATTCCCTCCGTCTCATATTTATTTATTTATTTACTTTTTTTTCGGAGATGTAGTAGAAATAAATGTAAAATTACTAAACTATCCTTATTAGTATTGTATAATATAAATGTAATGTCATTTGTATAATATATTGTAAATTAAAAGGTTATTTGTAATATTAGGTAGATAGTACCATTATTAAAAAAAAAAATTGTGACAGACCAAAATAAAAAAAAAGGAGAATATAATATTTAAAATAGTTAAATATATATTTCAAATTTATTTTAATTATATATATTAATTCTTATTTTAAAATTATTAACAATACTATTTATATAAAAATATAATAAAATAATATTATAATTCACAATTATTAACTAATTAAATTATTTTATATAAAAATATAATAAAATAATATTATAATTCACAATTATTAACTAATTAAATTATTTTACCTTAAATAATATGTCTTAAATAAAACCAGTCATTTCAAATGGAACAGATGAAGTATTTTATAATATTATAGTTATAAAATACTACATTTTTTTCTTATAAAATGTTAAAATTTTACTATTCTCAAAATTTTAAAATATTGAAACTTCCAATTTAGATATAATTCTAATAATTATATATTTTAAATTTATTTTAATCATATATATTAATCTATATTTTAAAAATATCAATAATATTTTTTATATACAAAATAATAAAATAATATAATAATTTATTAATTTATATTACCTAAATAACTGCATCCCTGAACAAAAAATCATCTTCCAGGGGACGGAGGGAATATATGTTAATGTATTGTGTTTTTTTGAACAAAATATATTAATAAATACTACAAATCTAAAAATATAAACAAGGTTGGGGTGTGTTTATTGTTACCAAAATAAATACTACTCCGTCTTACTCGAATGTGTTCCTTTTGGAATTTTGTAGTAGATTAAAAATTAATATTAGTATTTTATTGGTCAGTGAAAGTGTAAAGTTTTTTATATCATTTGATTTTATGTGTAAAGTAATATATATAATAATATGTTTGTAATTTAAATAAAAACTAAAGATATTTTAGTATTAGTGTATGCTTATTTTTACTAAAAATACTAGCGTATAAACTTGTGCGATGCACAGTTTGTATAAATTATTGAAATAATATTAAACAAATAATTAATATTATTGACAAATATTTTGTAGAATGATATAAATATTTTTAAGACTAATCAACAATTAATACTAAATTTACCATGTGACGAAATTTTTTTATTGTGTCTATAATCTATAAAAGTGTTAATAAACTCTCATACTAATTATATATTATTTCTTGTTATAAATTTAAAAAAGATATTAATATGCTAAAATAATTAACAATGAAATAATATATATGTATATTTATAAATCATAAAATATGTGTGATTTTGTAAATTTTTGAAATAGAATAGTTGAAATCGAAATATAAATTGAAATTGTTTGTGTGACAATTTTAAATTCATACTTACAGTATCGTCTTTTATTATCTAATTAGCATCATATCTACATTAAAGATTGTATATAAAATATAAATAAAAAATTATAATGTATTTATAGTTATATAAAAATATAAAAAATATAAAAAATTAAAATTATAAGTTGAAAAGATTAATTATAAAGTTAGTATATATTGTACAATAATTATATAACAATTTTTAATATATTTTCTATAAAAACATATATGACATAATTAAATTATTTATATAAATTAGAACAACTACTACTAAAGTAAAATAAAAAATTTGTTTTAAAAACTAACTTTTATTTTTTAAAAATAAAAATAAAATAAATTAGTAGATAGTCATTTATCTTAATTTTTCATTGCAAATTTAATAAATAAACAAAAATTAATGTAATTCAATAATTAATATTTATAGTCACTAAAATATCAACTATAATTATTCAAATATATTTTTTAAAATAAAATTAGATATTAACTTATAAATAGAAATATTATATATAAAAAAAACAATCGTTTAAAGTTTTGGAAATTGACTAAATTTTTTTAAAAAATTATTCAAATATATATTAATTGAATATGATATACATGATGGATAAGAGTTAACAATAAATTTATATATTAAATATAAATTAATAAAATAATATTTCATTCGTCCCGCCATATACCATATAGGATCTTTTTCCTTCTTTGTATGTTCTATAAAATATGACATTTTTCTATTTTTAGTAAATTTATTAATCTTAAGTATACTTAAAAAATATAAATAAATTTAATTAAAATTTCTAATATTTTATACGTATGATCCACTCAAAATTCTTTTATTTCTATATGTCTCCCCAATTAACAAATATTTTATTTACTTTTAAAACTTCCAATTTTTTTACAACACTAATTTATGGTAATGATACATAAATAAATATTTTTTTTATTAAATAGTATTCATATTGTATATATATTTTATTGAGATATATAATGTTTAAAATATTCAAACATATATTTTAATTTTTTTAATCGTTAAATAATAATATTCACTATTTAAATAACTAATTTATACACATAAATTCTCGTGTTCAAACAAAATGTTGCATCTTTGTCGGTACGGAGGGAGTATATTTTAATGCTTATCGAGTTCAATATCTTTTTAAAAACGATATCAAAAATTTATGAAAAAAAACTAATATAAGAATAGAAAATGAGATTTAAATAATCTAAAAATTATCAAGTTAAATATTATTACTGTAAAATAAATAAGATTTTGCAAAATATAAATAAATATCATATTAAATTATTTATACACTATAAAATAAATATAAAAATAAATATCGTGATTATATATCTTCCCAAAATAGTAAGATAAAAAAAAGGAAAAATTTTATTAAAAAATGATGAAACAAATCTGAAAAAAAAAATCATATAATAATGATATAATATGAGATTTGCATGCTTCAGGAATTCACGTCAAAATCTATACAGATCAAATGAAATAATTATAAAATATAATTTATAGAACTAATAATTTTTTTTAACAAAATAATCAAAACTATAAACGTAAACTTCTGCATTTTCATATTTGTCTTTTTCTTAAATCAAAATAAATATAAAAGTATATTTCCTTGATAAATATGCAAAAGAAATGAGAATATGAATTTAAAAAAAAAGAGAAATAAACTTTATAAAATTAAAAATAGTGTATATATATCCACTAACACAATAAAAAAAAAATTGTAAAAATTATATTACCTCGTCCACCGTCAATCTATTCATTTGCATTTGGCGTCATTGTTTTTAACATTAAAAATATTATTATATTTGTATAACTTTTTGTGGAAATATCGTTGCATTAGTATCATAAGACACCAATATAATTATTTTTGTCGTTTTTCCTAGATTTGTACTATGTTTAGATATAATAATTAATATTCAAATATTAACATGCAAAAAGTAAATTGATAGATTGTGGATGGAGATAGTATAGATTTTAAATACCCAACAATCATATAAAAATGATATAAAAAACTGTAAAATTAAAAAAAAAATCAGAAACTTCGATTTTTACATAATAAATAAATAAATAAATAAGCAGTTAGATTTATAATAATTTTATTTTAATCATAAACTTCAATTTTTATTCTTAAAAAATATATTATCTATATATTATTCTTTTAACTATTTATACAATTTTTCATATTTCTAAATTACACCAAACTTTAATTTTTTATTACTTTATATATATTCGAAAAATAAAATTATATATCATTCTTTAAAATAAAAATTTACATATCACTTAAAAAAATTAAAATTATACATTCCATAAACTTTAATTTTTATTCTTAAAAAATATATTCTCTATATATTATTTTTTTAATTATTTATACAATTTTTCATATTTTTAAATTACACCAAACTTTACTTTTTTATTACTTTATATATCTATTTCCGAAAAATAAAATTATACTACATATCATACCCGAGGTGTCAGAAATTTGAACCCATGACCTCACGATTATATGTTCAACCATCAAACCATCTCTTACAGACATCAATTCATTTATACTTATTAAAATGAGATATTGTTTAAAGTAGATTAAAATATTTTATTTTTCCAACCTAAGCCAAGTTCTTTTATATTTTCGTTCTTCCTATTTCATAGCATTTGTGTTTGTTTTGGGGTTTAGATTTTGAGTTGGGATTTGAATAGTAAAAATTTTGAATTTAAATAGTTGTATGATGTGATATAAATAGGTGTTGATGTAATGTTTTGAATGAAAAATTAATTTTTAGTATAATATAAAAAATAAAAAATAGGTGTTTAATTTGATTTTTTTTTTGGAGCAAAAAATAGAATAAATAGTGGAAATCTAATCCAATCTCCCAAAGAAACACACATATACATATCTTTATTTTATCGCAACATGTCTTGGATGAATTAATAGTATTTCATTGTCATC